TTTTTTTTGTACTGGGGATCGAACTCGGGTCCTTGTGCTTGGGAGGCAGGCCACCGAACCGCTGAGCTAAATCCCCGGCCCAAGCATATGTATATTTTTAATCCATTTTGAAATGTTTTCAATACCTGTAGAAAATTTGTCTCATTCTGTAATTCACCCAGGATGCCAGAATGCCTGGTTCCCCATCTGCAACAATTGATATGACCATTTAAACATATTTTTGAAATTACATTTTTTCATTATACATGGGTGGATTCACTGCTGAACTTAAAATTAATTATAAGGCAAAATAGCAGCAAGGAAAATAATAATTGGAAGTTTCAGGAATTTTTCTAACTGCCTGTTTCTATTGCTCAGATCTCAAGTGGGATTTTAAAGTAGTTTGAAATTACAATGGAGAACAATAAAACAAAACTTTTATATTATGTTTTTTAAAGACTTAGAAATATGCCTAAGGTAGGCAAAAGTCAATGAAGCATAACCTAAAGTTTTCAAATAGGAAAAGGTATTAAAATAATATTTATAAATCTGTCACTTTATGAAAGAATTAAGTAAAACAAAGGTAACTGGGGTTTCCTAGGTCTCTTGGATGAAATTAATATGACATTTGAGAGGACTTTGGTAGCTTTTTTAAAAAAAAGAAACTATAGTTTTTGGAAGCCCTTGTTGTTTCTTGGTAGGATTCTGCCCAAACATTTACCACCATAGTAATTTATCTATAGTCAAGGAACTGTTCCTGAGCAGCAGCTCAAAAGGCTGAAGCAAAGACTGTGCACATTTAGCACAGATAGATGCGAGTAGTTTGGATTTGCTGGGACTCTGTGTCCTGACAATGAAAATGAACATGGTGCTACTGCGTGAATAAGAAACTCTATATGAAACCATACCAGACTCACCCTGTGCAGCACAGAAAAGGTTAGGTTTCAATCTGATTTTCACATTCAAGCCCTTAAGTCATCCAGATAGATTTACACTTGATTTTGTTTCTGATTTTTTGCACTGTTCTTATTTTTCTCACATTAATCTACTCATCAGATAAGTAAACTGTGACTGGAAATGTGTAAGAAACAAAAAGTGTTTTAGATAGTGCCCGTGAGCAAGCATTTAATGCTGAAAGTTCTTAGACATGTGGAACACACATACTCTTGATATAAGCTTGTTAATATACTTGCCAGAGAATTACAAGTAATACTTAAGAAGTTAAATGAACTAGAAAATTAATTTTGATATTAAAAAAATCCTTTCACCCCTTTCCTAAAATCCAGATGTACATGACTTCTTCCAGAGAACCCCAAAAATTAATTTTGAGGCAAATATATTATAAGATGTGCCCCTTTTGTGATGTTTGTAATGTCAGGTATACACATCTAAACCTGAATATTTTTAATGATTTAAGAATAACTATTTTGTTCTGTAAGGCTTATTTTTGTTCATGCAGTTACTAGTCCCCTCCCTATGTTTAGTGAACTTTTAGGACCTTACTGCTCACAAATGTCAGATTGATTGGTGCTGTCCACCTAGAATATTCAGTACGTGTGTACCCAGGTCATGGTAAATTTCTTAATCCATTTTTTAAAATCTTTGCATCAATATATTAGCGAGGCTCGGGGGGATTTGATTTCTATATTCCTTTATGTGTCATTCTATTTTATGGATACTGTTTTAAATAAATATAATGCTCTTACTGACAGTAGACATTGCCATGCCTTTCTTTAACCAATACAATTTGTTCCCCTAAAATATTTCTTGAATGGAAAATGATCAAGCTTCCCCCAAACCAGTTATGTGTCACGGTAATACCATAATAAAAAGATGTCTCTTAGGCGATTAGTACTTAGTCTTAAATTTAAAAACAATGGATCTATTTCCTTCTCTGTCTTTCCTAGTAAATGTTCCGTTTTTATTTCTTTCATCACCCATTCTTCCATTATAACAAATACTCCTCAGTGCTCTCAAAAGCACAGTGCAGTTACCACTGTGAGAGGGGCTCACGGACAGGCACACAGCTGGATTATGTTCAGGAAAAAATATGAGTCTATGTACTTCTCCTTTCCATAGTTCTTCTAAAATGTTTAATGTTATTTAAAAACACATTTCTAAACTATATGTGTATTGCCACACAGGAATATTCTAAATTCAGATAAAAACATCATTTGCCGAATAATTGCATTGACTTATTAGAAGTTACAAAAACATCTTAAAATATTCATACCTTTAAAATGATTGCTGTTTAGAGATAGTTGCCTCTCCATTGGTTTTCATGTTTCCTATTAATTTTTGTTCCTGATTTATATTATGTTTGTATGTATTATCTTTTCATATTGTTAGGAAATACTTCAAGTTTTCCCATGTTTTGCAAATTCTATCCAAAATTTTAAGGTAAGATCTAAATAATCTTGAATTAATGCCCTATTTCATATACTGTACATTCTGTAGCTTTCTAGCCATTCCTTTGCATGTATTTGCCCTTCTGTATACATTTCTTTTACTATCTCAATCATGTTATTTCCTTTTCCTTCTAACAGAACAAATAACCTGCCTATGTGTTCTTAAATATTAGTGACAGTCTAAGTCCCTCCCATGGACTTGCCCACTAATCTTTAATTATAAGACAGTATCAGTTAATTTTAAACACTTAACAGCACTAATAAAAAGAATGCAATGACTATGTATGATTTCTTGAAATGTGACATGAAAAAACAATGTTAAAAGTTTATTTTATATCTTAAAATATTAAAGAGAAAAGGGTAAGTACGCCATTCAACTGGTTTGTCAGAATGAGTTTCTTCACATCTCTTCTCAGTATTGGGTCACATGGTTTAGTGAAGTTCATAATATAAAATCGGTGCTCAAGAATACTTGTGAAATAAATAATTTTATATTCTTGATCTCTTCAAATTATTGAGTCCTTATCCTATATATCAATCTTTCTTTATATTAAATTTAAGCCTGGGGTTAAATATCTATAAATACAGTTAACTTTAAATGAACGCTAGTGTAGAAAATCAGAAGTAACAATTTAATGTCAAATATTAAATTAATTTTATCTCATACTCCACACGAAGCATAAATATATATGTGGCACAAAAACATAAATGTGCCTCTGTGTGTGTGTGTGAGAGAGAGAGAGAGAGAGAACGAGAGAGAGAGAGTAATGAGAAACGCTGCTTGGAGTTTAGGTGATCTGTAGACAAGTAGACCCCATGTTGTTTGAAAGCCTGTGAGAACTACCAATTGCAGAAATTCACTACACTAGTGGATTCGGAGACTCTCTTGGTTTGCACTTCATTTTCCTCTTACAAAAGACAGGGTTACGTGTATAAATAGTTGTATCTCTTACCTTTTGCGATTTACTTGACACTTTTCCACCACCAGAAGAAACAATTTACTAATTGGACTCTAATAAAGTTATTTCAAGAACATAATCCTCAGATGACTTTGTGAAGTGATTTCAATTAGCAACGAATAGCTGCTCTTAGGAATAGTCCCAGGAACATCTCAGACGCAGTAGTTGCTGAGAAGCTTGTCCCCAAGGGTGGGCGGTGAAGGTCTGTGCTCACTGTGATACGGGTCACATGATGTGAATATCTCATGGACCTACCTCTCAGACCCTAGAGGTAGATCAAGAGCAGGTTTTCCTCAGAGTTCATTAGGATGCATTGGCAGCTCTTTTCTGGGCATGAAAATCAATTGACAAGAAAATCTGTTTCCTGATTACATTCACCTGATCGTTCACAGCCACCATGAGAAGAGCTGAAGCTTTTGCAAGACTCAGCTATACTATTTTTCTCTTGGTAATTATGTCACCAATTAATCATGATTCCACAGTCATATGTTGAGTGACGCTGTGTTAGGCACTAAACACAAAAACAAAATGAGGCGTTTGTGGAGGAAAGGAATAATTAAGGAGGCAAATACAAAGTCAGGCAGGATAGGAGAATATACTTGGTAGGCCAGTAGTCAGGTTCACCTGGAAACTTGTTAGACGTAGAAACTCATGGATTTTATTTCAGGTCTCTTGAGCCAAAAAGTCTGCATGTATGCTCAGCCATTTGGTTATTACAGACCTTCCAGATGATTCTTGAGCTCACAAAAATCGGTGAACCACTTATGTAGAAGAGAAACCTTGTATTAGGCTTCTTTAGGTAACAGAATCAATAGAAAATATATGAATAACTATGCAAGAAGATTTATTTGGTAGACTTAAAGGATCAGAGACAGAAGAGCCATAATGGCCATCTGTATACCAGAGAACTAGAGGAAGAATCTAGCTGCTATTCAGTCCAAGAAGGTAGAAACTGGGAAAAAAAAAAAGCGGGGGTGGTGGTGTGTGGAATCAAGAGATGCAACATTAGTCCAAGGTTGCAAGCCTGGAAGCTCACAGGGGAGTCACTGATGAGAAGCCTCATTAGAAGGCTGAAGAAACTAGAAACATGGAGACAGATTTCCAAAGACAACAGCAGCAGAGAGCACTTAGCAAGATTAGAATTGTTCAAAATTGGGACACTGCCTTCTTCTTCCCTGTTGATTCCATCCAGGGTACAAGTCTATTAGTTAGTGCCACCCACAACTGGGATGTTTCCCCCTCAGTTTGCTGGCCTGTCTGTCAAACATCCATAGACACATCCAAAACTGTGCTATACTAGTCTGCTAGATGTTTCTTAATCTGTTCAAGTTCGCAACTGCTGGTCACAGGTTCCCAGGCTAGAGCTCTGGATCAGGAAAACCTTCCCAGAAAAGGTACATGGGAAAATAAGTGTTCAGGCAGGAGATAACTGCCTCTGGAGTTCCAGAAAGTGAAAGAAGTCATGGATCACATCAGCACTGTGTACCTTTTAACACAGACAAACTCTAGCTATCACCAAAACCGTAGGAAGAGTATGTCATGATTCCACAATTGATGGTGAAATAGAAGGAAGGCCGGAGGGGAGCGAGCGAGAACGCACCTAGGTCACAGAACTGATGTATGTATGGCTTGATCAAAATTTGACATAGTTCTACCTGCCCATATAGACAGAATTCTTTTCACTTGGACACTTCCCCTGTCCACGAGTACAGTCATTTTACTTGTGTCACAGGATTGTGGGCAGCAAAAGAGGTACTGCACTTGAAAGCTTCTTGTAATTTCAAATGTGTGTGTGATTCCTCTAATTCAGGGTATGAAATCTTGATGAAAAATTGAATATCTTCACAAAGTCCATACGAGAATAGCTCTCATTGTTATTTATGTTGCAAGTATGTAAATGAATCCTGGATATATTTTTTCAGCGGGTGACTTGGTAAATCTCTAGTAGGAACCGTGTTGCAAGGATTTAGGAATGATGCTGAGCCAGTTATAAATGTGTTTTCTGTCCACTTGGAGTTTATGTTGTAATATTCAATATCATTTTAAAATCACAATGTAGGCAATTTGTCTGACATTATTATGACAACACCTTGAAGTCTGTCAAAATTAATCCCATCCAAAATAGTCCAATGCCTTATCATTTGTCTCAGCTTGGGAAGCAGCCACAGGCCAATAGTGGCACTCCAGCTGTTGCACTTTGCGTATATTTGGTCTCAAAATCTCTTTTGAACACATTTGCTTTATTAAGTTAATGTTTCAATTTAAGGGAAGACTAAGTTCCCTTACTATTGAGGGAAACAATGGAGATAATTTCAGAATTAACAAGAAAAATATTTGTCTAGAATTAATTTTTCTTCTTATGCTCCAAAGGGGGTGGGATTAAGGAGAATAAAAAAAATTAGAGACAATTGATTGGCTATATTAAATATGAAGTCTAGGGCTGGGGATGTAGCTCAGTGGCACTGTGGCTGCCTGGCAAGCACAGGGTCCTAAATTCAATCCTTGGTACCAGAAAAAAAAAAAAGAAGAAGTCTAATCACGGAGTAAATGCACAGTTGCAGATAAAATTGTAATGTTCATCATTTCCAGAGAGAAGACAGAGTAATTCTGAAGGAAATGAAAGTTTGGATAGAACAATTTGAGAGAGATTTGACAAGGGCACAAGTGACAGAATCTAATTTGCAGGATAAATATCAGGTAATGTGTGGAAAAGAGATTTCCATTTTTCAAAATCTTTTCATGGGTAAGGTTTTCATGTGTCATTTAGTCTGTTTAATCTTTCAAATTGCATTGATGAAAAAATCTGTAAAGAAATGGTATGCACTATCTTAAATTGGCATATAATTTTATATTTATATTTCTATCTGCATGGGCAGCTTTGAATTGTATTGTTTCCACACTGCCCATTGATGGAGCTCTGAAATGTCACTAGTCTTGGGGACTCAGTCTTTTAGACGACCCAGAACAAAAGCCTGAAGTCATTGCTTTTCTGTAATTCATGGTTTCATAGTTGTTACCTAACACAAAAACCCACCAGATAAATAAATGAATGGCTGATGCATCAAATGACAGTTGCTGCAAAGTGAACGGAATTTAATAAAGCATTGTTATGTGACTATTTCGAGTGGGTGCATTAAAGCAAACTTCTGTGATCTTCCTAGTTCTTCAGCATTACATGCAAGCTGAGCTCAGACTTGTTGTTTTCCCCAATATTGCTACACTGTCATTAATTGGACTTCTGATTCCAATATTTACTTCCAACACAAAGTCTTGTAGTGGGTTTTTTCCCATTAAAGCTTTGTGATTACATTCTATGTTGCATTGTTATTTTCCTCTTAAAATACGACTTCACATTAGTGACAAAACTAAATATAATGTATTCTCTGTTAGATTCTCGAGCACGTTCCAATCTATATTCTATTTCAATCCTCTTTAGCTACAAAAAAAGGTGAAGTGATGTAAAAGATTTGACGTGGCAGACAATAAAGGGTTTAGCCTTGGTAATGATGTGTGATTTTATATAATAATGTAAATAAGCCTAAATTTAGATGAAGTATATCTCCGTTATATTTATTGAACATAGGAATGCAATCAATTTATGTTTATTATTAATGTGCTATTTGTCCTTAAAATTCAATGCATTATTTTCCATTGGAAAATTTCTTGATGGAATTCATTAAAATAATTAAATAGTAAATTGAGAATAGAAATCCAAGAACAGAGTGAGTGGAATGATTTATTCCATTAGTATTAGTTTTAGCAAAATTCATCAAAAAGTAAATTCCAACTTATAACACTTTCTGCTGTTTAGATATTATGAGAAGGAGACCAGATTAGAAAAATATAAAGCATAAACACTTCTTTTGGGCCAAAAGTGATCATTACTTGCTTAAAATCAGGCTTAGAGACTACCTGGCATTTACATGTAAGGAAAATTTTCTTTCAATTGTACATCGTGTACAGCATTTTCTTATTTATTCCAATTTTACCCCATACCCCTGCCCTCCCTTCACCCCCTTCACCGTTCCCTATTTACAACGACTTTATTTCCTTGTTTCACATTGTTTCTTTTCCCTTATTTCCTTTCTTGTACCCGTCCCATTTTATCTTTAAAATTTCATTAAATTGGAAGAAATAGGAAATGTGGTAAAATTTTATTCACTGTCTCCCCCTAGTGTTCTTCATGTGTATTGACGTGCTTGCATGAGATTCTGAAATCTTTTTCAATGTATTTTCCACTATATTCTGTAAGGCTATTTGCCTGTTCTGTAACCTAATTGCATATTCTAATGGTATTTTCCACTCATATTTGGACTTGAAATTACATTTTTGGAATATGCTAATTTAATGTACAATGTAGAACTTTAAAAGAACTACTTTAGTGCTAAGCCTATGTTTATGTATTATGTATTATGAATTTATTCTAACTATCCTGTGGCATACTTAATATTTTAATGTCATAAAATTTATCTTTAAGCATCATTTTGATATATGTAATTTATTTTTGAAAATTATTTTATACTTTAAAGCAAAGCAAATATATTATTTGCATACATATATACTCCTTTTTGCTATTCTTTCTGACAAACAGGGACTGGTGTATAAATTACTTAACTAGAAAGGAAAATCCCCAGCCTGTGATGGCGAACATTTTAGAGACCGAGTACCAAAAGTGCAACTCAGAACGTTATTTCAGTGTCAACACTGAAAACAAATTTAAATACTGAGGCTTCAGTTTGGAAAAATACCTCATACATTAGCATATTTTGTTTTAAAAGAAAAACTCAATAGCATGTGCCTTAGGTTCACCACCACTTCTAGGCTTTAGACTCCCTCTACGACTTTTCTTTGTTTTTAGTACATGTCACTTTGGGGTTTAAGAATAATGCATGTCGGTGTGTCAGGCTGACGAGAGAGGCACAGAGATAGTGTGGAGAGCACTTAGCATAGGGTCCAATTCACAGTCAGGATGTAAAGAATGGCATATGCTGTTAGTGTCATCACTGCCGAATTCATATTATTACCAACAGTACATATTGTTCTCCATACATAAATAATTGCTATTTTAAAATGTGGTTTTCTTTGCTTCTTCTTTTTCTTTCTTTCTTTTTTTAACTCATTGCCATCGTATTGCTATATTTCCTCTTTTAGTCATTTAAGCACTTCAGAATTCAATACGAAATAAAAAGGAAACAGATTGAACATTTAATACAGCCATTACACAGAGATGGTAAATTGTCACTCGACCAAGCCTTGGTAAAACAGTCCTGGGACAGAGTGTCCTCTAGGGTAAGTTCCCCCATGATTAGTTTCATTACAGTGTATGCAATTTAGTCAACAATAAGTTGCATCATCTTTTCCTACACAGTGACATTCCTCAGGTCCTGCTGCCTCTGGGGCTGGAAAGGATTCACTACAGACCATCTTTTCCCTCTTGGCAGATTTTACCGTACCCTAATGGAAGTGCTTGGTTCAACAGCTCCTTGCCTGCCTGGGTTTTCCTACACGTGATGGCTGTGGACCAGTGATAGACTGAAACCTTGGGAGATCTCTATTACTGTTCACTTTACACAGCTAATGCTGGACTGTTTAGAAGAAATGACTCTTGCAGAAGATTCCTGGGAATGGAGAGCCAACCACTTTTCATGTTCTCTGTGTATCATCAACAGTTCATGATCGTTTGGTGTTGATGTAAAACTTTATAATTTTTAATACAAACATCTTTTATCTAGGCATTCATGAATCTGAAGGGAAAGTGCTGAGTGTCTTCTATGTTATATTCTTCATTAATTCTTAAATATCTAGATTTCAAACCTCTGGACTCTTCTACAACTAACAGGAATGTTTGATTGGAATTTACTATGTGTCATTTACTTTGATAACCTCATTTTTTCATCAATTTCATCAAACAACAGTTTAGTAGACTATGAAATGGTGCTTCAGATCTGTGCAAAATGGAAGAAATAGAGAGAATGCTAGAAAATTGTTGGCTTTTGGAAAGAATTCTAAAAAGTCATCTTTGTCTAGAGCTGTCCAGAAAGCCATAATTTTTTTCAAACTTGTTTTCATTATGTGGGAGGTTTTAATGGGGTTCTTAGTTGACCACCAGATATGGCCTGATTGGTGGACAATTACAGCATCCTTTGAGCATGTCAGTAACTGCTTCCTTTCTTTTAGCAAAAGCCACACTGAGAATTGGTAGACACTTCATGCTATTCTCATAAAGAAGCAAATTGCTTAGGCTTCCTAGTAATATCTTCCCATGTCTACGGAGTATGTGCTAAAGTTTTGTCCCTGTCTTCATAGCATCAAACTCATAACACAGATATTTGCTTGATATTAAATAGCCTATAGTCATTAACTTTAAGACGTATATATATATATTATATATATATATAATATATATAATATAATTCAAAATTTTAGCAACTGCTTTTTGTACTAGAGATGTTTTATTTTTCTATTTCTTTCTAATTTCAGCTCTTTGATTGGCATAGCCAGCTTGACAAATCACTCCCCGCACCTCTGGGCACTATAGGTGCCTGGTTGTACAGGGCGGAAGTGGCCCTGAAAGAGGAAATAGCCATTCAGCAGGCTCACGAGGAAACTGCAAACACAATACAGCGGAAACTCGAGCAGCACAAGGTAAAATTACATGTGCAAAACTCTGCCATGTAGCAGTAGTGGTGTGATCTGGAGATGTGGCCAAGTCAGACCCTGTACTACAGGGCCTCACTGGTCACACCAGGGGCAGAGACGTCTTCAGAAGCCCCTCTGTTTGCTTTTCCTTTCCTGTGGTCACTACGGAGGATTCCACTAGACTGATTTTCTCAGTCATTTTCCAGGAGCCCTGGGATATCTTTTCATCTGAAGCAGTCTGCGTTATTTCTATTGCTATATGTATTTTTCAGAAAATAAACTCACAGGTAACACAGGTTGACCTGGCAACTGGCCTTGATCCCAGACCTCATCCCTGCCTTCACTTTCCAAGAAGTGAAGAAGGAAGTTCTTATGCCTTCCTTCTGTGGGTGGAGTGGGGGAGAGATTAGAAGCCCTAGGGAAGGGTGGGATTAGCGTTTCATGTCTCAAGGTCATGTGGAACCTTTTGGGTTTAACAGGATGAATTATGTATAAATTCCAATGTATTTCCTCTTGGACTTTTGTGATACTGTGGTCCTAACTAATCTTGTTTGTCATTAGTATCCCATGAGTGTAATCCTCCTTTTTGTGCAATTGAATTTGTGTATCTATTCACTTTGTCTTAGTGGTGGGGTTTTACTGTATGTGTGCCAAGTAAACTGGTCAGCAGAGATTTCTACCTTTGACCACAATTAGTGGCAATTCATAACATACACACACACACACACACACACACACACACACACACACAAAAAAAAAACACATTTTTCCCCAGGGAAATAAAATAAACTGTTCTCTATTCTAAACTACAGACTCAGAAATGTCAAGCCAGTTCTTGACCCGTTTAGCTCAAGAGACTCAAAACCCCATACCAAATCAAAAAACAAGTCAGTGTAAACCATCACTCTGGGGCCTGGACCCCGCTTACTCTTGGCCTTTTGTCAGTTACACTCAGTGCTTTCAGACAAGTTTATTTTTATTTTAAAAATGTTTTATAATATTTTTAATTGATATGTGTGTGTGTGATTTTGATACATGTATCCATTGTTTGATGTGATCAAACTATTAATCAGGCTATTAATAATATCACCTCAAATATTTACATTTTTTCATGGTGAGAACATTTAAAATCTTCTCTGTTGGCCATTCTGAAATATACAATACATTTTGTTAGGTCTAGTCACTGTGCTGTGTGATAGAACACCAAAATGTATTCCTCTTGTTTAACCTTAACTCCATCCTATTGGTCTAATGTCTGTCTCCCTTTCCCTGCCCACACCTCCAGCCTACTCCCAGCCTCTCAGAACCACCATGCTATACCCCACTTTTATGAATTTAACTTTTTTCAATTCTATGTATCAGTGAGACTGATTTTATGGTATTTATCTCTATTCTTGGTTTGTTTCACTTAACATAATGTCCTTCAGGTTCATATAGCTCATGACAAAAGGCAGACTTTCCTGGTTTAAGGCTGAATAATAATCCATTGTATATATAACACATTTTAAAAATCTATTCGTTTGTTGATAAACACTTAGGTTGTTTCCATATTTTGATTCTTGTCAATAATGTTTCAGTGAACATTTGAGTGGAGATTTCTCCCTGGCATATTGATTTCAATTATTTTGTGTATATACTCAGTGATGGAACTATTGCTTTTATGATAGTTCTATTTTTAATTTTTTGAGGAAATGCCATACTATTTTCCAAAATGGATGTACTAATTTACCTCACCATTAATTGACTGGCTTCGTTTGCCTCCACATCTCTGCCAACACTTCTTACCTTTTATATTTAAATACTAACCAATCTAACAGACATGAAATAATATTGTATTGTAAGATTTAAAATGTTGAACATTTTTTCTATCTATTGACTATTTTTGTACACTCTTCTTTTGAGAAAAGTTTAAGTCGTATGCTTATGTTTAATAAAAGTACTCATCTTCTTATTATTATTGGTTGAGTATACTTTGAATATTAGCAAAGTTGCACCAGTTATAATTTGAAAACATTTTCCTCCTGTCTTTGTTACTGTATTGATGATTTCCTTTGCTCTGGAGAAGACTTTTAGTTTAGTGCAATCTCATTTTATTTCTACTATTGTTACCTGTGCTTTTGGGATCATATCCAAGAAATCACTCCCCAGTCTAAAATCATGGAAATTTTCACAGAACTGTTTCTTCCAGTGGTTTTTATACTTTTGGGTTTTACACTTAAATCTTTAATCTGTTCTGAGTTGATTCTTGTATAAATGTGAGATTAGGGTCTATTTTCTCTCCTCTGTATATGGATATTCAGTTTTCCTGACAACAGTTATTGCATGGATGATCCCTCAAAACCTTGGTTTTTGGGGTAATTTCTATTAAAAAAAATCAACTGACTAATGTGTAGGCTTATTTCTGGGCTCTGTATCTTTTTGCTTTCACAGCTGGGTATTGAACCCACGACCTCATGTATGCCAGGCAAGTGCTCTACCACTGAACTATGTGCCCAGTTCTTCTCTACCCTCTTTTATTGGTCCATGTGCTCAGAGACAGTGCTACATTTGCTAATTATCTCATCCCCTCCCTTCCCTACCACTGCCACCAACACACACACACACACACACACACACACACACACACACACCCCTCCCTATCATCTGGATGCCTGATGACAAGCATAGCTCTGAGGTCTGCTTCATTTGTGTAGTCGCACACATAAACCCCAATCTGTTTACCTGAACCTCAGTTCTCTGCATGTGGGGAAAGCTGTAAGGGAGCCAGAATTCAGGCCTTGGTTGAGATGAAGTCACAAGGAGTTTTCCTGGGTTTGAGCCAGGTGTAGGCTTCTCAAGAGCATAGATAGAACACAAGCCTATTTTGAGATTCTCAGTATATTAAAAGTAGAGGAAAGTGCTAAATATGGTTTCACAAATAATACTTATTTAACAAATCAACAACTAAATGTATATTATACAATAATTTCTCTTCTTGCAAAACGTGGTAATTGAAACTGCTTGACCTATATGAATGTTCAATACAAAAGAAGTTACTTCAGAATTTTAAATAACATGAACAATATCCATCAGCTGTGAGTTAAACTGAACCAACTTTTGGCACCAGGGGACAGGTGCTGGTGACAGTCAAAGTTTAGCTATTTGTGGTGCCTCCAAACTACAGATTTAAGAAATATCCCTGTGTTTTTTTGTTTATATTTTTTTGTTTATATATATTTAGATTCAAATCTGTTACATGTTTCCCATAGAAAATATGTCCTACCATGTAACTGTATTATTTATTAGATATTTGTAAGGTTCTCAGACACATTAATTCAGGTGGCATGAGCCCCTGACAGGAAACAACTTTTAAATTGCATGGTGTGTATGCTAATCTGTGTATTTCATGCTTGTATGATTGAGGTCCTTTAGGAGCCTTTCTGGAGAGGGGGGAATGGAGAGGGAGAGATAGAAAGAAAGAAAGAAAGATAGATAAATAGATAGATAGGTAGATAGATAGGTAGATAGGAGAGAGAGAGAGAGAGAGAGAGAGAGAGAGAGAGAGCACTGCACCAACCACTAAGAGCACAACTAGAAAATTTTCCTGCTGGAGTTTAGTAAAGAAGCCATATAAACTAGAAATGAAGTGAACAGGGAGACACAGAGGGAGACAAAAGTCAGAGAGGATGGTTATCTGAGACTAAAAAACTCGAAAACACTAAAGATAAAATGGTTGAATGAAATAAGGAGTTACCAGGAAGCCAGAACAGGAAGGTAGGAGCTAAGACCTTGTTCAAATCACATCTCAGAATGATCCCTTTATCAAGAGGGAAACTTTTACTAAGCTTGGACACAAGTACTTGAAGTGGCAGAGTCATAAAACAATGACATTTTCAATTAGGGGATCAATTCAATTTAATTCAAAATGTACTTATTAAATTTCTATAACAAGCTAAGCTTTGAGAGTGAAAAGTTTGAGTCACTAAGATAACTCAGTATCCTCAGTGTCTCCAGTAGCACGACATCAGTTAACTCCCCGGGGCTGACTCACAGATGAAATAAATTGGGAAAACACAAATATAGGATTCAGCAAATGCATAAACAGGAATGTTTGGGATTACTCTTTTCATTCCTGTGTAAAGGTAATTCTTGTTCTTATCAAGACAATTTAAAGATGCCATAAAAATGTCCAATGCTTGGTTTTCGCCACTCTTCAAGACTTCTTTTAAAAAAACCCACAATTTACTAACTTAATATATAGAATTTGCAAATGGGTTCCAGATCATTTTGAACTGTCTATTTCAAAGAATTCACTTAGTGGGTGAATGTTCCTTCACTACTTTTTGAAAGTCAACTTATGTGTGTGTCAGAACACCTTCATTCTGCAAAGCAAGGCGTGCCTGTATTGTCTTTTCTTTCTTCCAGATATCCCAGTACTCAGGTATCTAAAAAAGATAACCATAACCACAGCTGACTACGAAGGAAAATTTTGTGATATTTTAGTCCTAAGATTTCAATTTTTCTGAAACTGCAATGTGACAGATGGATGGATATGAGATTGGTATTAGTGTCCTCTCAGACATATGAATAAACTGAAGGCATTCATAGAGAAATTAAGTGACATAGCAAAGGCCACGTAGCTCATCATTCCTGTTGTGTGAAGCACTACGTGTCCAAAATGGCATTACATATAGCACATGCAGAGTGATTATACTGATTGTTTTAGTACCAGTATTGCTTGGCAAAGTCAGACTTGAAAGTCTTAAGGAATCATGAGAATAGCTGTTGACTCCACTAACCAACTCTCTGTCCTTATGGATTTATTGACTCGACTTTGCTAACTTTCCCTCCCTTCTTGATTTTATTTTCTGGAGAACAATGCATATCGTAATATCTAATATCTTCTCTACTTAATAGACAATCCTCCCAGTGTCCTGGCCTCTCAGTGCTTGCACCCCTTCTTCCCCCGTGATTCGATTCCCTATGCTTGCCCTCACTCCATAGTCACAGTCTACAATCATTATCAC